TGGTTACCTAGAGGCTGGTGGTGTTTCTAAGATATTGTCTATTTCCTCCAAACATTTTCCCATTACGTGATGCATGGGGAAGGTTTTTGTTTAGTATTCATAAATTATATTCTTGTATTCTGCCGGAGGCATCGCTTGTAATTTTCTCTTTAAATTGTTACTGATTGAACTTATTAGAGATTTTTATTTTCTTTTCTTTTTCGTTAGTCTAGCAAAGGTGGTGGATCAATTTTGTTTATTTTTTAAAAGAACCAACTTTTGTTTTACTTAATCTTCTGCTATGGTTTTCCCTGTTGTCGAATCTTCATTTAGTTCTGATTTGATCTAATGAAATCACTTCTTCTGCTGGTTTGGGGGTCAGTGTGGCTTTTTTTCCTTTCTTTTTCCAGCTCTTTTCAGACAATGGTCATTAGGTTGTTCTATTTGGTGACCTTTTCGGACTTTTGGGAATAGACATTTAATGGAAATAAAAAAACTTTCCTCTCAGGACTGCTTTTAGCGTGTGTCCCACAGGTTTTGCGTAACTTGTGGTTCTCCTTTGTCATTAGTCAAAGAATCTTTGATTTCCATGTGATTCCTCATTTATGAAGTGATCATTGGAGAGAAAGATTGTTTTAGTGTTCCATGACTTTTATGTAGAAATGAGGAAGTCCTGCTTAGGGATTGATTTCTCCATTATTCCATTGGGTCTGGTAAAAGATACATGGGTGTAATTTCTATTTTTTTAAAATTATTTGAGATCTGCCTTTATCGTCCTAGGATATGGTCAATCTTTTAGGAAATGACCCAGAGCTGATGGAGAAGAACATATATTCAGTGCGTTTGGGGAGGCGTTAGAATTTTCCTGTAAATGTTTAATCAGGGCCCCATTATGTTCTAAGGAGTTCTGTTTAAGTCCATTATTTCTTTGTGATTTTTTCTAAAAAGTAAAAACTGGGAGATCTTCCTGTACTGTTAATGACGTGTTAAAAGTCTCCGATTACCTGTGGTGGTGTTGTTTATCCATTTGTTTTTAGATCAAGTAGAGTTTGCTTTATAATCTGGTGCACCAAGTTTGGGTGGCATATATATTTAGAATTGTTATGTCTTCTTGTTGAAACTCATACCCTTTCACCATCGGTTATATTAGTGACCTTTGTCTTTTATACTTGTTGTTGATTTAAAAGCTAATTTATCTGTATCAGCCACTGCCACGCCAGCTTTCTTTTGGGCTTCCATTTGCTTGAAATATCGATTCTCCACCCCTCTTACCTTTAGGTCTAACTGCATCCTGCAGGTTAGATATGGTTTCCTGAAGGCAGGCAGATACTTGGATTGTGTTTTTATCCATTTCGCCAGGGCCTATGTCTCGTTGAGTGGGGGGAGGCTTCAAAGCCCATTTTACACTTTGATTAAGATGATTGATGGGGGCGGCCAGATAATGTTGGGTTGAACTTTTGTTGTTTGTTTTCCTCTTGAGCCATTGTTGGTATCTGGACTTTGATCTTTAGCTTTGAGTAGATTTACATTGCATGAGTGTTTATTGCATCTGATCCGTGAGGTAACACTGGTTTTGAGGTACTTCTAAAGGCTGTCTTTGGTCTTGGTGAATGTCCTTCTTGCTCTTTAGCTTATCTGGAGGAATGTCATTGATTTCGTCCTTTTCATATACTAAACTTAGGCTTTGCAGGGAATAATTCATTCTAGACTGCGGGTAATTATCTGTTTCAGGAAGAGTGGGGTGGGTGAATGGAGCCCCAGTTCTCTCTTTGCTTTAAAGGTCGCACCCGCCCCGTAGAGAAGTTTGGCATTATATCAGATTGGCTTTCCCGTTGGTATGTTACTTGCTTCTTTCGTCTAACAGCTCGTAGGAAGGGGCCTCTTTAGTTATATTTCGGTCAGTCTGATGACTTGCATGTTACATGACGTCTTCCTGTTTGGGCATTTGAATCTCCCAGGGGTCCTTTGAGCTTCTTAGAACTTGTCATCTGGGATTTTTATCAAGGCCTGGGAAATTTTCCTCTATTATTATCTTTCAAATGCTTGTCCAGCCCTTGAGGTGTTTTCTTCTTCCCCCTTCTGGTAACCCTATGACCCTCGACATTAGTTTCTTCACATAAATCCCACATCTTCTTGTAGGCTTTGCTTTCTTTTTTCTCTTGTTTCTCTGGCTCTATTCTTCTGTGACTTGATTTATTTTATTGGAAGTGTCTACTTCAATCTCTGAGATTCTTTCTTCTCGTTTTGGGATCTACCACTGTTCTTGAGGCTTCCACGTGTTTTTTCATTCCTGAATGATTCTTCATTTTTTTTCCAGGAGTTGGTTAGATTTTTCTTCATTGTTTCAATTTCTTTAGTGAATTTTCTGTTCCACGGTCCTGGAATCTTTTTGCATTTTCTTTGTGTTCGTTATCCAGTTGTTCTTGCAAGTCGTTTAATTTTCTTACTGATCCATGTTCAAATTTTCCTTTCTCGTCATTTTTCAGTGGCTGTTTTTTTCGGTTCATGTTCATTTCTAAGGGCTGGTGTTCCTTTTGGGGATTGTGGCTTTCCATTTGGTTCTTCATATTTCCAGAGTTTCTTTCACTGATTTCTTTTCCCATCTGGATCAGTTTGTTGCTTCTTGCCTTTAGGTTTTGTTTGGATAATGACACGCCTGCGTTGAGTCTCTCAGTGGTGGAGGGTGGGTTTGGGTGAGATTCGATCACACCCTGTACAATGAGTCAGTAGGTGCCCTGAAAAGGGTGTGCAGAATGTCCTCCCTGTCAGTAGGTGGAGCTTGCTCAGAGGAACGGGCTACACTGTTGCTTTTGGGTCTTGCATCAAGTTCTTACTCCTCTGGAGAGGCACTCTGGTGCCTCAGGTGGTGGGTGGGGCCCTGGGACTTCCAGGTGTGTCCTTGTTCTCCACCTCAGTGAGGGCTGGTCTGGAAGTGATTCTGGGCGGAGCTGGGTTTGGTAAGCCTGCCCTCAGGTACCACCAATGCTGTTAGCAGGGGTCAAAGTTCTGTTCTCTGCTTCCAGGAAAAGCTGTCAGGGAGGGTCTGGAATGGCCCTGCTCAGTCAGAAAGTCTGCGTGTGGGGGTGGGGCTGCGTGGGACCCTCAATCTGGAGCGGGCCTCGCTCCTTTCCACCCTCCCCAATTCTGCGGCTACTCCTGGGCCTCTGCCAGCAGGCCAGACCTCACGCCACCGGGCCTCCCTTGGCTGTGATGCCAGCCGGGAGGTTCCCTGCGCAGGATCGCTGCCTGGGGTGGGCACACGGCCCCCCTTTGGGAGGAGGGTTGCCCTCAAGGACGCTAATCTGCCCCTGGAGGCACACACACCTTAGTAGGCTGTTCACGAATATCCCTTCTGTGCCCCTGGCAGTGTGAGACCTGGGTGCACGGGATCTGGTCTGCAGGTCTTACCTCTGGGCCCTGAAGTTCAATCCCTAACCCCACCAGGGAGAGGAGTGCCAGTCCTAATTCACCCACGGGTAGCCGAAGCTGGGTTGATGTCTCTCAGCCTTAGGGTCTGCCCCATTCTCCTGGGATCACCAGCTCACCAGCACCTGGGAGGGCTGGCGGGTAGGGAGCTCACCGTCTGAGTACCCCTCATTCAGCTGCAGGGCCTCAAAAGGGAAGGTCCTGTTCCCTGGAGGTGCCTCCAGCTGGTGGCTGTATTGTCTCTCTCAGCAGCCACGGATAGGGATGGGGGAGGGGAGAATGAGGCAATATGACACCTGCCACGTGGCTCAGGTCTGTGCACAGAGAGGTCCCCCAAGGGAGTGGGGAGCCTGGTGCTGTGTCTGCTACAGGCTTACTGCTCACTGGCGGTAGTCATCTCTGGGCTGGTGTCTGCAGGTCTCTCCACCCGCTGAGGAGCCCACCAGCAGTCCAAGATGTAAGGGAGGGGAAAGTTAACCGCTCCACCTACCCTTGCCGGTGGTCTCCAAGCTACTCGCGAGGTCTCTGCTTTCAGTTCTCCTCTGCTACCTCCTCCTGTGGAGTCTCCCATGGTCTTGGATACCCTTCCTTCCGACCTTCTTCTGATGTATGCTTGTCTGCTTGCTTCTTTCTTCTCATTTCTTCTAGAATTTGTCTTTTCTGCAGAGACACTTATGTCTGGCAGTGTTTCTCGTCCACCATCTTGCTCCTCTTTAATTTTTTAAATGTTGTTTATCTGATCTTTAAAGAAAAGGGTCTGTGAAGAATGAGCCTTGTAGCAATTTAAACAAAAGTACAGGCCAGGAACAGTGGCTCACGCATGTAATCCTAGCACTTTGGAAGTCCTAGGCAAGAGGATTGCTTGAGCCCAGGACTTTGAGACCAGCCTGGGCAAAAGTGAGACACCGTCTCTACAAAAAATTAAAAAATTAGCTAGGTTTGGTGATACATGCCTATAGTCCCAGCTGCTCAGGAGGCTGAGGCAGGAGGATCACTTGAGCCCAGGAGATGGAAGCTACAGTGTGCTATGATGACACCACTGCACTCAAGCCCAGTGACAGAGCAGGCCCCTGTGTAAAATAAATAAACAAAAGTACAGTCATACATCGCTTAGCAATGAAGATATGTTCTGAGAAATGCATCATTAGGCAATTTTTTCATTGAGCATCATAAAGTGTACTTACACAAACCTAGAGAGTATAGCCTACACTACACCTAGGCGGTATGGTATGGCCTCTTGCTCCTAGTCTACAAACCTATACAGCATGGGATACTGAATACTGTAGTCAGTTTTAACACAATGGTATCTAAACATAGAAAAGGTACAGTAAAGATACAGTATTATAGTCTTATGGGACCACCATCTTATATGCAGTCCATTGTTAACTGAAACATTGTTATGTGGCACGTGACTATATTTAAACAATTTCTGTCCTTTACCTTCTGATAATAAAGAATCATCTATAATGGGTATTTTCAGACATGAATAAATTGGGGAGTTGAAATACGTTGCTTGGCTAGCCCTTGACTGATTTAAAAACTCTTCAGATGACATTAACATCAAATGACCTGTCTGCTCTTGTTCTTTTCTGGAGGGCTGTGTCACTTGTGACAACAAAGCTTCAGTTGATGATGCTGCAGAGCCCTGTGGTCAGGATCCCGCAGAAGACCGCGGCTGAGTGGCTGTGAAGCTGTACCCTTATACCCTTTCCGGGACGTGTTGGACAAATAGCCCTTTTGTTTATCTCCTTAAATCCTGTACTGTTAAATGACTATGAAGCTATAATTGAATGTTAAGGTTTTTCCTTACTGATTTTTTAATAGACATCATTTTTCTGAAGCAGACATTGTATATAGAATCTTATTTCTCTTTGTTCTTGACGTATAAAACTGTCATTTAGGCCCTTTTCTAGTTTAGCTGTCTTCTATAGAGATTGGATGGCCTCTGAAGAGGTATGTGTGTGGCAAAACTTTACTTCAGGTATCACCCAAAATGAATTTGTAGCATAGCTAGAATGATCCCCAAACCTTAGCCTCATTTGATGCTGTTGCTACATGAATCATCTCCCCCGGTAGAGTACTTGAAGAAACCCCACCTCCACACAGGTCGTGTGCCCTCCACGCTGGTTTCCGTCAACTCAGTGTGTTCAGACAGGCTGCGCTTCCCCTCTGTGGTTACGATAAAACATTCCAGTTTTCTCACAACTTATTAAAATACATTGTTCATTAGTATATCTGGAAATATCTGGTTTGGGGGGTTGAATTTTGATCTTCATTCTCGTAGATGCCTTTCCTTTTGATTTTCCACCTTCCACTGAAATTCTGAAAGTTTTATCTTAGTTGATCAGTTTGCAATGAATTTATTCTTTGGAGAGTTTAAATTAGCATTTGTATGTGCCATGTTAAAACAAAAGAGCTCCTTAATGGTGTTTCACTTTTTAATGGTTTTAAAACAATGATTGTAAAATGTTTTAGAAGTTATGTAAAAATTAATATTGTTCTCATATGCTTACGTGTTTAAATCTTCAGTCTTACCACAACTAGCAGTTAACTCTTTATTTCCAATCAATTTACACAAAAGAGGTCTCTCCATCCCTACCAGAGCTGTGACTGGCACCGCCTGCTGTTTGCCCTTGAACAGGGGTAAGCGTTGTGGGGACTACACACTGAGAAAATGGAGCTCAGTAATCCAGCCTGCAGGGGACGGTAGAGCCCCCATAAATGCTTTCTGGCCATTTGCAGTTGTGTCTTCTAAGATGTGTGTGGTCGTTTACTTGATGAGTCGTTTCACTTTCTGGTGCTCTTCAGAGAAGTCAGTGATTCCTCCTCAGACTTGGAATAACATGAAATTCACACTCATGCAAATCAGAAAGGAAATACAAGAAAATGTCTCAGGAGTTCGAGACCAGCCTGAGCAAGAGCAAGACCCCATCTCTACTATAAATAGAAAGAAATTAGCTGAACAACTAAAAATAGAAAAAGTTATCCGGGCATGGTGGCACGTGCCTGTAGTCCCAGCTACTTGGGAGGCTGAGGCAGGAGGATTGCTTGAGCCCAGGAGATTGAGGTTGCTGTCAGCTGGGCTGATGCCAGGGCACTCTAGCCCGGGCAACAAAGTGAGACTGTGTCTTAAAATAAAAAACAAAAAACAAGAAAATGTCACAGTATAACCTTTTTTGTTCATGTAACTTACAACAAACTAACTTACTTTTTTTCCTTTTTTTGTTTTTGGTTATTTTTAAGAAAGCACTTCTTTCTCCTTTGAGTTTTATGGCTTTTTGTAAATGCATCCTGATAATGATTAGGAGAATGGACTTTTTTTATCCTTGATGACTACTGGGCCCTGATTCTCCCCGTAGCTCAGATTTCCTCTCAGAGTAGTGCTTTTCTGGATGGTAATTTTGTCTAAGGTATGAAAAACATTCTCAAATGCTGCATTTGACATTTTTTGGAATTTTCTAAAAATAAATATTAAGCAGTTCCATGCAGATAATTCCTGTTCTATAAATAGAGAATTCTCATATTCTATCTACTCCATCTTGATAGTTAAAAGATTTCTGAAGCCTTTGCGTGTGTTGGTCAAGTTTAATTTTGGTATTGGTGGAAAATCAAATTTTGATAAAAAAAATTAATCATCCAGTACATTGTCCACTAATCACCTTCTGTAGTAATAAAGTTTTTATTTGTATAAATCAAAAATGATACATGTAGCTCTCGGGATCACTCTGCATTCATGTATGCATATTTTAAGCCGTATGTTCTAGTAACACAAGCCCTTCTTTTCCATTGTTTCTGGATATTCATTTTTCTAAATTTGCTTATTTCTTTGCGTTAGCACACATTTTATGGAGTGTATAATTATACTAGGCTTGATTTGAAACTGGTGCTTGTCATAGACAGATCTGTAAAGCGGTTTGTAAATCCTCTTCTTTTGGTAAGCAGATTAGTCAGTGCGCTTTGCGGAGGTTCCTGCTGCTGGTGGTGGCAGGGATGAGCAGTGACGACTGCCGCCCCCCAGGGGGGCTTCGCCCAATTTACACTTTCTTGTCCAAGTTCATTAACTTTTTGTATTAACGACTATAAAAAAGGATAATAAAAATGTATATTAAAGTCTTCAGTGTTTACATCGATGTTACCCAAAAAACTGTATTTTGGGGGATCAGAGGTCAAGATTTATGAAAAACAAGATGCTGTGTGAATAGTTTTGCAACTAAGTGAAACTTCATTGGTAATTCACAAGGTAAATTTAATCCAAATTGAAATTTTGTTTTATCTGAATTTATAATTAACTCTGTGGATTTGCTTGTTTTTAATCGTTATTAGTATTTTAATTGGGTATCTTTTTAAGTAAAAACAATAAATAATCTGCGTACATGTAAAACTTGAGAAATTTTCTTACACTGTGTCAACAAGTCTTTGTCCTGAATATCTATTTTATATCATATAGAACTATTTCTTATGATCCATCGATGGGTGCTTACGTTAAGTTGACGTTGCCTTTCTCATCTGCACTTTGTGTTTGCGTTGTCAAGTGTGTCCAAGCTCCTCCTGTGTGAAAGATAAAAATGCAGCCATTTTCACATTCATAGGCTTGTCTGACCCTCACTTCAGCACTGTGAAGACTGTATTGGGTCCTGAGTATACGCACATATATTTAATACTTACTAATTTTAATGCCAACTTTATAAAATTCCATTATCTAAATTACTCCTACAGATTTTGTAGGGTGTTACCTGTGTTTCAGGAAGCCTGTGTAACTGGTGGCAACAAAATCTAGAAATTAAAATATGGAACAAGATCCTGAAGCCAACAGGGCTTTTGAACATTTACACCTTTCTGTAATATAAACAGTAATAACAATAGCAAGAAGAAAAATCACTAAGTATTTATTGAGTGTATACTGTTCTGGCAGGTATCAGTCTAAGTGCCTTACGTGAATTATCTCATTTAATCCTTACAACTGTGCCGTGTAATATTGTTATTGTCTTCATTTTACAGAGAAGGAGACTGAGGCATAGAGAGTCAAATATCATGGTCAAAGACTCACAGCTAGTTTGTGTTGGGAGTAGGGATTTGGACCTAGTAATCTGACACCAGAGCCCCCCATCCATAAGAATAACTGCCTAGTATCACTAAAAAAAGTAGAGATTCTAGAATTACACTACAATGGAAGTCCACTTTTAAGCTATGTCTGGTATTAAAAATATAAAATAGTTTTGTGGTGCCAGAGTTTTTAGAGACTGGGTATTAATTTAATTTCAATATTGAGAGACATCCCATAGTTTTATCATAGCTATGCTTAATGTCCAAATGTTTCTGAGATTATGCATCCAGTCTCCAGGTTTAAAACGTCTTTCCCTGTAGGTTTGTTCTTGATACCTTAAAGGGAGCTTTCTCAAACCTGTGCTCTCTGAGAGCTGGGTGATGTTTGTTGGTAAGTTGCACACTGCTGTTTGGCTGGTGCAGATCTGACACTTCTTCCTCGGTAAAAACTTAGCTCTCTTGTGTGCATGGTCATGTGTGAGAAGCTGCACACAGAGAGCTCTTGGAGTTCACGCTGTATATTCTACACACATATAATATAAGCTACATCTATGTAGATGTGTTGATGGAATATAAATTAGTACTTACACACACACGTGGTTTTTAAAAATTAATAAGCCAGGCTAATTTTTCCACAGTCTTAAATATCACTTCAGCTCTCTATGAGAAACAGAAAGATCTTTTTCCCTAGTGTAAGTGAACTATAATCCTTGATCTCACAGAAATCAAAATCAAACAAATTTCAGTATTAAAGGATTAAAGTTTTCAAGTGTTCAATACTTTGGTCAGTTAAGAAAAGAGTCTGAGCACATGAACGTCCCTGTCAGAAACTAAGGAGAATTCAGCCTGTTCCCAACTCTTCATTAGACATCCTTCCTTTAGAGATATTTCCAAGCTAAGAGGCTAATTTTTAAAAATATTAATAGTATCTGTTGTTATTAAAAAATAATGTCATTTTTAAGGGTTGAGAGAACATCACAGCTAAAATAATGTAGTCTATTTAAATGATTTATAGTTTAATGATTTTAACTATTATAACAGTATTTCTGTTCATTTATTTTACTTATAAATTTTCAAAGATTTCTCTAAGGATAAATTAAAGGAAGGAAAAATTACAGGTTTTCAGGATAATTTATAGTGAAAATAATCACTCATGATATTTGCAAAACATAGAGGATTTATTTTTCAAATAATAAGGAACAGGGTATAGTTTGCCTAAGCATTTTTATTTTTAATTTTCTAAGGTAAGTGTTTCTGAGTTAACTAATAGACATCCATTCCACGTCAGACGCAGTATTTCCAGAAGCATTCAGGAGTCCCACGTTTCTTGTATTCTTTCCTGGTTCCAGCCAAAAGATGACTCAGGAGAATATTAAATGGGTCTTGTCCAGAGAAAGCCTGAAACTAAAACAATCAAAACAAAAACAGATAAGTTATCAATGAATTAAGAGTCCTATAAGAAAAAGGAATCTTTGGTCAAGACATTGGACCTTTAACACATTGACTGCCACGCTAGAAAAATATTTTTCCTTTTGGCCATGGTGTTTTATTATGAAAATAGAAAACTTAGAAAACAAAATGATCCTTTCTAATTTAATGAAAAATTTGCTATTTTTTATTGTTTTCTGTGTGTAAGTTTTATGCAACTTGAAAAATAATTCTCCTGGCTCCCAAGGTGAAGAGACATGAGTTACAAACGCTTCACGAGGTCCCGGACTCAAAATTACCGTGAGTTAAATACAACTCACACTGCAGTTAATGTGTTAAAAAGTATTTGCTCTGTTGTTCTCTGGACTGTTGCAAGGAGAGTGCCCGAGGCTCAGTGGGGCTGCTGGGGCCCAACTCTAAGGACTGGCCCATCCACTCTGGTTAGTCCCAGGATGGCCTTGAATCAAACTCACTGACCTATTTAACTCATCTGTGCATTTATTGCCTTCTGTGCAAAGTAGATTTCTATTTGTCTCGAAACTTCTTTAAAAGTTGACCCTTAGTTTTCTTTTTATTCTAGAATAAAAGAGTATGAGCACATCCCACTAATCACCTTAAGATTTTAGAGTCTTTAATCACAAGCTGCCTATTGAGAAGAACATAAACATCTGAACGATAACTTTTAAGTAGCCACACGAAGAAGCCACATGGTCCCCTTCTTGGCAGTTTATCCCATCTGCGACCTCCAGTGCTGTTTGCCATCTCCAGATTTAGTGTTTCCAGAGTGTATTTGTGCTAGAATATTAATGGATATTACACTGAAAAAGATGTCCCTGATCCAAACACTTAGGAAATACTCACTTTAGAATAGTTTTTTTAATCTCGTGATTTCCTGGGAGACCTTAAAGTGTTCATGGACACAGAATCACCAGGACAGGGAAGGACTACTGCCCCTCACAGCCCTGTATACTGGCTCACAGGGCGGCCACACACAGAAGATCCTGTAGTAAATACTAATGTAGAGTTTTCTGGGGGTTGATAATGATCAAATACAAATTTTTCTTTTAGCATTTAAAGTTTTACATTAATTGCATACAGTTTCTACCATTTGATTTTGTCATTCATCAGTCCCTGTTACAGTCTTTCTATACCCAAAACAATTTTCTGGAAATTCTTCTCTCTACAGCACACATTTTGAGCATGTCATTCTTCCACTCAGTTGTCATACTGCAGTGCTTTTCGGTCTTTAAGGTGCAAATGAGCCACCTGGGGGCCTATATTAAGTTGCAGGTTTTGATTCCATGGGTCCTAGGCGGGGTCTGAGATTCTGAGTTTCTCACAAGCTCCCCAGTGACAGCGGAGCCGGTCTGTGGGCCTCACAGTAAGATGATGAATAAAGGGACAAGTGAGGCCAGGCGTGGCTCACGCGTGTAATCCTAGCACTCTGGGAGGCTGAGGCAGGAGGGTCCCTTAAGCTCAGGAGTTTGAGACCAGCCAGAGAAAGAGCAAGACCCCATTCCTACTAAAAATAGGAAAATTAGCCAGGTGTGGTGGCGTGTGCCTGTAGTCCCAGCTACTCAGGAGGCTGAGGCAGGAGGATCCCTTGATCCCAGGAGTGTGAGGTTGCAGTGATGATGCCACTGCCCCCTACCCAGGGCGACAGAGTGAGACTCTGTCTCAAAAAAAAAAAAAAAAAAGCACAAGTGAATGACAAACTTGAGAGCACAGACTTTATCTATCTTTTCATTCTCCAACAACTTGATTTACCCAAAACAGGCTCTGGACAAGTTCTAGTTGCACGTAGATTTTCTATCAGTCAAATTTGGAAAAATTAATGCTATGAAATAACACCGACCAATTATTTTAAGGTGTGGTTTCCAGCAAGAACACTCCTCGTGAATTTAAGACCCTGTAAAATCAAGTAGAATGTTCACCCTTTTAAACCCAAGTCTCATAAATAGAGTCACTTACCTTTCTCAGATTTCCTCTTGGGTTAAAAATGTTTGTAGTAGGACCTGGAAAACAATTTTGAAATGAATGCATCAGATCTATTGTCAGTATTTTATGCTTGTTTTAAAACATACAAAATAGAATATTGCTAAATTATATCTAATTTCTGGTCTTTCTTCACACTGCAGACAGGCAGACCCTCTTGTTCGTAGCTCTGGAATTCACAAAAGGCACTGCATTATTCCGGGTAACTTAGCAGTAGCTAAGTTGTTTATCAAAAATACAGCAGATGAGCTCCTATATATTATGCAATGCCTATTAAAAGGCTCCATTGTGTTTCCAGAACGTCCTGGGCATTTGTGTCGATGCTTGGAGGAACATGTTAGCGGAGAAAATAAGCCACCATTGCACTGATTGCTTTCTAGGTGACTTGCTCAGCATCTCAATTGCACGTCCTTGTTGGCTCATCACAGGAACCCTGTGAAGTGGATGTTTTTATCTTTCCTGTTCACAGATTAAGAAATTAGAATACAGAAAGATTACATCATTTAAGATTTTAATAAGTGAGAAACCAGGATTTTAAATTGCACTCACTAGAAACTAGGATAATTACCACCCGCCAACCCCCCAGTGAAATCCACTGTGAAAAAGAAAGTGCTGAGGTCCCAAGTAGAGCATGACGCTTTCAAGGGGTTGCTGGGGAAAGAAAATGAGGAGGGAAGGTCGGGAGGGGGAGTGCTGGTAACTGACTTACATTCTGCAGCTCATCTTTGTGCTCCACAATGGGCTTTTACCTCATCTAGTGCCTGGGACTAGAAGGCAAATTCAGTAGCAGTAAAATCAGACAACCTATGAACGCGAGAATAATTCTACCTGTTTCCCTCGGAACGTCGCCTCTTCCGGCCGCCACGGTCTCCGGCAGCGCCTGCAGAGCGGAGGCTCCTTGCGGGTCCTGCAGCGCCAGCCTCGCGTCTCCATCCCGTGCTGCAGGTGAAAACAGACACGCAGTTCACTCCATCTTCCGCTAGCCATTTCTGCTCCTGCGTCCTTGGGTGAGCACCAGGGACAGGGAGATGAATACTAGAAACACTCCCAGTGCCAAGTTCATCATTTGTCACTAGGGGTATTGTGACAGAGAGGAGATGCCACAGTCCGATCCGCAAGCCAGCAGAATAGGACGGCAGGAGACGTGGACCTTGTGCCGACTCGACCGCCCGGGTGACTTGCCAGGACACTCGACTGCCTTAGAGCCGAGCCACAGAGCCCTAAAACCATTGCACTCAGAAGCCTGATGCTCCCGCCCACACTTGCTCTCCTACTGGTGCCTACTGTCTTGTGCTCTCAGATATTTAGGTGGTGAAATTGGAGTCAGAGGAAAAAGAAAGCAAAGATTGTCTATATGCCCTCACTAATAAGCAAATAGGATGGTATCTATTGCGGGACTTCACAATATATCAATTATCGCGGCACGGTGGCTCACGCCTGTAATCCTAGCACTTGGAGGCTGAGGCAGGCAGATTGCCTCGAGGTCAGGGTTCGAAACAGCCTGAGCAAGAGCCGAGACCCACATTCTCCTATATAAATAGAAATTAATAGGCAAATAAATATATATAGAAAAAGTGCGGCATCAGTGGCGCATGCCTGAGTCCCAGTACGCTCGTTGGCTGAAAGCAGGAAGGATCCTTGAGCCAGGAGTTTGATGGTTGCTGTGAGCTAGGCTGACCCACGGCACTCACTCTATAGCCCGGGCAACAAAGCGAAGTCCTGTCTCAAAAAAAAAAAAATAGTACACTGTCATCATACTTAAAAGCAGTCGCTTCAAAATAATCTTTTAGGAATTTGACTGTGGCATTTCCAATGTAAAATCTGGTCGACTAAATGGCATAAAAGATGCCTGGTAGATGCACGCCGCATGCCAGATGCATGTGGGGTGTGGTACGTGGAACTGGGGTCAGGTACCTTCGGCCCAGGGTGCCACTATGTGGAATAGCATGCTGGGGTCGAGGATGGCGCAACACACAACAACTGGCAGTCTGCAGCTTATAAATGCTACCCTTGATGGAAAAAAAGGAACATAAAAACCATCATAAAGGCATCTGGGCACATTCCCAGTGTTTCTAAAGACTATTGATGAAAATCTATGAAATTCAATCATACATAAATGCTTATGTCATAAAGGCTCATTACTTTTCAAATGAATGAAAACATCTGGCAAACATTCTCAGGTAAGCTGCCACCTGTTCAGAATTTGAGTGAGATGCTACACTCATGTCATCTAAGTTTCTTCATTATAATAATTACATGTGAGTTTTTGAAGATGACAGTAATATCTGAGTATTCATTCTTGAGTTTATCTTGTGATTTGTCACTGTTCCTTTTTAAATAGCAGGGATTAATGTTATTAAGTAAGGTTAATGCCTGTTTTGACCACTAAGGTGACGGCCAACCGTGAACTCCAGTGGCTCTCGATAGAAGTGATCGATACTGGGTGACTGACTAATAGTGCTTGAAAATCATCACAGAGCTGCTTGGGATAAACCTTTAGAGACTAGATATTACAAAAGCAATGACTTAGAAGAGTTTTTTTTTTAACTTAAAAAAATTCTAAAAGTATCCAAAATTAAAGACAAAATTAAATCCAGTTAAGTTTGATGCTAATACCCAAGCATGAAAAAAATTACCTACTTGACTGATATTTTTTTAAATCCAACTTACGCTTACACCGAGTGGACATTGGCCAAAAGGAAAAAATACAGATGCTTGGAAATCTGTGACATCCTGGCTCCAGCTTGTCCCCTTTTTATTTTTTAATAAATATTTTTCGTTTCATATAACACATGTCAAATGATTACTTTTTAACTGAATATAAGATAAAATAAATACATTATTAATCTATAATTAGAACAATCAATTCTACATTCAACCAGTCCATTTAAAATGAAAACTAAAAGTAATGATGTTTTAAATTTAGTGCAGGTTTTTAAATTGGAAAAAAATGTTGACCGAAACCAAAGTTTGAATTACAGAGGCAGCATGAAACGAGCAATTCTGCCTTTCTACTTTCACATTGGAGACAGAAAAATCTGTATCCATTACTAAACCCAAAATGTACAGTAAGGATCCTTTAATATTCTTTTCAAAGCTGGAACTATTGATGTAACAAGACTCCCTTGAGCAAGGATTTCATTCTTACCTGTAACATTGCATTTAAAACCAGTGAAGACTCTTTTAAGACTAACATAAGGGGGAAAAGAAATCCATCTTACCTGAGAGCTGAAGGGATACTTCCCTGGAGTCAGAGATGGGAAGAGATAAGAGAGGGGTTAAGAATCCTATGAAAAGCAAACAGCAGGAGCCCAGCTTATGCATGATTGGAGAGAGAGAAGCCTCCCCTCCCGGCTCCTGTCGTAGGGAGCTTTCGACTTGCTCTTTCTCGTTCTGTGATCACCGATTATATATGCCATCCTATGACCTCACAGCATCCTCTCCAAAAAAAATAAAATAAATTTATTGGCTATGGACGCTAAAAGGCAATCACTTTGCATTGATGTCATTTGTCAAGGTAACAATTCAGAGACAATAAATTTACTGTCTTGTTGCCCATTGTACAAAGTAGGTATTATATAAAGAAAGAACAGTTAAGTTTATAAATCTGGCAAAAAGAGGAACTTAACAGCAATAAATCATGAGTTAGGAAAAGGGTCAGATATGAGCTGAGTAGCCAAGGCAGAGAGACGTGGACTTAGGAGACCGCATGGTAATTGACGCAGAGCGTGGCATGAAATATGTTGGTTTCCTTTTTTTAATCTTTTGGGAGTGGATAGATGGGTTGTCATGCTGTGTTTGGGGCTGCCGTCCCTGAAGAATGACAATATGTGGATGAAAACTTGAAACCAGTTATTTCCCTTAAAACAGTGAAGGGAAGTTCAAATGCACAGCGGACCCTGCTCAAGGCTGGCGACTGGTTCCGCGCACACACTTGGCCTCGTGGGACGCCACAGGCACTTGCGTCTTCAGAGAGGGAAATAGCTCCCCACAGAGCTGGGTACTGGTCGTGGGGGAGAGACAAAGGACTTACCCCCAAAACCTCAATGATAAGCATTTCCAGAATTCAGCATCTACAGCCCCTGCACCCGCCCAGCCCCGCCCAAGCCAGGATGACCGGAAAGGTCTCCCAATGAGCGTCCCCGAGCCCGTGTTCTGCCCCCACGGAACCACACGGCAAAGCCATGCTTCTGGCATTAGTCGCATCACGTCAGCTCTTTGCTTAAAACCTTCTATTGATGAAAACATAAAAGTTACAACAGTAGAACCACTGGGGAAAAACATGCACACCTTCATCACCTCAGGCTGTGCAAATCTTTCTTAGAGTGGACACTGACCACATAAGAAAAATATTGAGACGGGAATAAATTCAAGAGATCTGTTGTACCTCATGGTGACTACAGTTAATAACAATATATGGGACCAGGCATGGTGGCTCACGCACCTGTAATCCTAGCACTCTGGGAGGCAGAGGCGGGAGGATCAGTCGAGGTCAGGAGTTCAAGACCAGTCTGAGCAAGAGCGAGACCCCGTCTCTACTATAAATAGAAAGAAATTAATTGGCCAACTAAAAATATATAGAAAAATTTAGCCGGGCATGGTGGCGCATGCCTGTAGTCCCAGCTACTCGGGAGGCTGAGGCAGGAGGATCGCTTGAGCCCAGGAGTTTGAGGTTGCTGTGAGCTAGGCTGATGCCATGGCACTCTAGCCCGGGCAACAGAGTGAGACTCTGTCTCAAAAAGAAAAAAAAAAATAACAATATATGGTATCCTTGACAGTTGCTAAAAGAACATATTTTTATTATTCTCATCACAAAAAAATGGTAAGTATGTGAAGCAAGACATACGTTCATTTTATTTAGCCATTCCACAATGTATGCATATATCAAAAAGTTGTATGCCATAAACGTAAACAATTTTTATTTGTCAATTAATGAATGAAAAAATGTATAAGTTGGACTTAAATCAAAATTAGACATCTGCTCTTCAAAAGATACTTTTAAGACAATGAAAAAGCCAGCCACAACTGTGAGAAAATAGTCACAAACTATGTCTGACAAAAGACTTTTTCAGGATGTATTTAACCACTTCAGTACCAGTGTCAACTATAGTCGATAGCCACCGATGAACATGCACAGCGACTTTAGCCGACAGCTGTGATAGGACTTTTCTAATTTTTCATTTATCAGAATAAAATTGTGTACATTTAAAAATAACGTAATGAAAACATATATGTCTATGTTACCTATTCTGATTTACATGACAAGTAAATCTGCCTGTAAAGTAAAACAAGCTTTCAGTGCTTTCAAGCTTTCCTCATCACACAAGAGCAAAATGGATTCATCGTCAATGCACAGCACACACTATCGTTTGGACTGTGAGTGCCGGCTGTGGGCAAGGTTTCATGGCCGGTGAGCACCATACCGAAGTGGTTAAAGAACCACAAGTCAGTAAGCCAAACAAGCCAATTTAAAAGAATGGGCAAAAGGTTTTTCCATGGCCCATTTACAGGACGGAGGATGAACACAGAACACAAAACAAAAATGCAGAACACAGAGAAAAACGAGGACACACATACAGACGGTTGAGTGAAGTAATAATACACCGGGTTAGTTTTATTTTTGTACTCTAAAAAATTAAAGTTAGTTCCTTATATGTAACCATGCAGGCATTGCAGCAATGGCCATAAATTCCAGAACACATAGCCTTAGGGACACAGATATCCCCTGACTCAAAGTTTCCAGGTGGTTGCTCTAGGTGCCAGGCATAGATCACGGACGGAGATTAGCAAGGATGGGCAAGGCAGCCACAGAGGGCATTTCTCATCCCCAATTTCTCTTAGGCTGAACCCTGGCGGCTGTGCCTGGCTTAGGTCGCCCCTCCCTTGAGGGGTCTTACCTGTCATTGACTAACCAGCCATCTTGTGGGGCTTAAGCAGCAATCACAGGAACAATATGTTTATCGTGTGGCCTCCAGACCCCTACTGCTGTGGGGCGAGGTAGCTCTTGCTTACTTACAGCTCAGGTCCTTTGTTATGCCTCTAGGCAACAGCCTTGTTTATCACAGGGACCTTGTCCGGAACACATTACTTTTAAATGCTCTGGGCAGAGCACGTATATTACTCACTAAATTTAATTCTTAAACTAGGAAAATATAATGTCAGTCCCGTACAGGTTTGAACAGATACTTCACAAGAGAAGGAATACAAGTGCCTACTAAGCATATAAAAAATATCATTAGTCGTCAGAGAAATGCACATTCAAATCACAACGAGGTGTTGCTACACAGCCACCAGGACAGCTGCAGCTGAAAAGACTGACAACACCAAGTGTGGGTGAAGAGACAGGGTGCCTGTCACACGCTGGGTGGGAACGTGAAACGGTACAGTACCACCTCCCTGGAAAACACTTTGCAACTTTCCTACAAAGTTAAAATACACTGTGCAACCCAGAAATACCTGCCCTAGGTATATACTCATGTGAAACGAAACGTTTGGCCACACAAACATTTGTACGCAAATGTTCACAGCAGCTTTATTCGTAATAGAGGAAAGCTGGAAACAACCCAGATATCCTGCAACAGGTGAAGGGATGAACAAACCATGTGGATCAGAGCAGGGAACCCTACCCAGCGGTACAAGGAAACTATCCATGAGCACAGAGTGGAAGAATCTCAGAAACTTCATACTAAGCAAAAGAAGCCACACCCAGAAGAGTGTGCATTGTATAAAATTCTAGAACAGGCAAAACTAAGCTATAGCAACAAAGTTGCCTGGGGCCTCCAGTGGGAGGTGGAAGGATTGACTGTAGGGAGATAAGGGAACTTTTTGGGGTACTATTAATAAAAATGTTCTAGATCTTGATCAAGGCAGTGGTTACGTGGATATATAAATTGTTCAAAACTCACCAAATTGTACACTAAAAATGGGTACATTTTATTGTATGTAAAGGATACATAAATAAAATTGATGTAAAAAAAAATCTTCATTGCATCCTACTTTTGTTTTCAGCCTCGTCTGCTGCTGCTCCCCCACTGCATATCCACCCCAGCCATTCTGAACCCCCTGCTGCTCTGTGAACACATTTGTGCCTCAGGGCCTTTGCACTGGCAGATCCCTCTGCCTGGAATGCCCTGCCCAGACGGGCTCTTCCCTCCCCCCCCTTTGAGTGTTTGCTAAACACACCTGCGCAGGAGGCCTCCCCAGACCTGCCCCCAGCCCTACTGGGCTCTGGCCTTACCCTGAGTTTCCATATTGCTGAGCTCCGTCTACCACACGCTGTTTATTCCGTGGATTATTACACACAGTAGGCGGGTTCGGTAAATACTCGTTGAGCCAATGAGCAGAGCGCCAACCCTCTGTCAGTCCCTGTTGAGGGGAAAGAGCAGTGAACAGAATGAAGGAAGTGTCTACTGTCGTGAACTTTCTAACTGGAGGAGACAGACAACAAAATAAATAAACGCTGTAAAGGTTGGTTATTGCTCTGAAGCGGAGCAAACCACAGCGAGGAGACGGTGCGGAGGCGGGGGCCAGGGACGGTGCGATTTCAGAGAGGGGCGTGGCAGGGGGACTCTGGGGAAAGGACACTGGAGCAGAGACCCAAATGAAGGGGGCAGTGCATTTAGCAGCCGGTGAACTGTGGAGGATCCAGCGAAGGGACTTGTGACGTAGGAGGGGACCCCAGAGAGGCGCCCAGCAGAGGAATGAAGAAAGTAGAGAGACTGGCCGGGCTCCTGCTGTCAGCAGGTGGCTGGGAACCATCTGGAATGGCCCCAGGTGGGCAGCACGGCAGGCAGGGAGGCCCTGGGCACGTCACTACCCATGCTGCCCCCAGGGGATGGAAGGTTAAGGACTCGTTAATTCATTCAACAGATACTCTCAGCACCTCCTATGTGCCAGCACGGCTGGGTGTAGGGACACAGCCGGGCACAAAGAGGCCCTAAGAACCTAATGTGCAGGTCGGGGTGAGAGGAGCCAATCCCAGCCAGCTGTTGGAAAGACCCTGTGTAGCTGCCAGAATCCAAGGAAATGTCGGGCAGCAGGAACCAGGATCCACCGGCCTCTGACCTCTGACCTCTGCCTTCTGCCTTGGGTGACTTGACTTCCCCCCCTCTTTCTCTCTCAGTTCCATAGTTTCTTCCTTGGCATCTCTCTGTCAGCTCATTCTTTTTTCTCTTGGCAAAAATTGTCTTTTTTTTTTTTTTTTCTTTTCCACGTATACTTGGCCAAGTGTACCCCTCACACCACCCAAATTTACCTTTCTTCAGTTTAAGCAGTCAGCTCAGACACGTCACATCCTTAAATCAATTTGCAAATTCCTAGGAGAGAAGGTCTGTTTGGTGCAGCTCAGCCGGGCTTTTGTGGAGGGTGGAGGGCAGCTGTTGGCAAAAAGAGAGGCCGTGGCCTCACGGGACGTCCCAGCGGAGAACAAAATGGCAAGCGCCAAATGCGTTTCCACCCTGTGGGCCTGCATTCAGAAATAACAGAACAAAAGCAAAAAATCACCCGAAGGGACCGTCTGCAGACTTACCTATAGTGGCAAAGGCAATAAATCAAAGGTTGCAAACTCAAACACGCCCAGGATCAGAGAGGCGATCACACAAGCGGGTGAGTGACAATGGCGGTGGTGGGACCGCAGCACAGTGGAGACCTGTGTCCTCTCTGGAGGTGGCCGCTGCCACTCCTTGTCGAGCTACAATGTCAGAAATCTGAGTTGCCCCTTGGCATCTAATTCAAACTTTTAAAAAACGAAAACAAAGCACCTATGATACTAAGGCGTATTTCAAACGAAACACACCCACAACCCCTAATTCAACCTACAGGCACCCAGTTTGGGGGCCTAAGCCCCCCAAAATAAGTGCGTAAGTTAGCGTCAGCGTGTCGTTTCAGTGATCATTGAAATAGTAACAAAAGGAACATAGAAACTTGGAAAATATAACAACATTAAAGAATTAGGGTATCAGGTGTTTGCTAAAAGGAATGTGGGTAGGCATTGGCCTGTCCTATTATCTTACAAAATTGAAAATAGTAAGTAGTTGTTCTGGGGTAAAGGGGTTCCCCCCCCACTTTTTCTTAAAATGTTATTTGACGTGTACATATGCCTGTCTGTGTGCATTAGGTGCGAGTACGTAAAGCACTCGCGAGGTGAAGTCTCGCCAGGACGGGGCAGGACGCAGGCTGGCAGCCGTGGGGTCTCTGATGGCAGGGGACACTTTCAGAGGGAGGCGGGAGGTGACGCCACACTTCCGTCTTCCGTGCGAGAGGCCGTGTGCCAAGCTCTGTCATTCCCTGGTGACTCAGGGGTACTTCTGGCAGTTATTAGTGATGGTTTCACAGCGTGGCCTAATTAAGTTACTACTAAAGGCTTAAGCTTAAAAGAAAATTAGCTTCTTTCCTTCAACAGACCATCCATGACTGTGTCACCTTGTCCCAGAAACGTACCGAGTGCGCCATCCCACCAGTGGCTTCCCTTCTGTGCCTGGACGCGTCATCAACAGCGACCACCTGGACGGGTGGGGTTCCTGTCGCTGCAAAGCACTTTTGTAAAGCAGAGAGATGTTTTCTCCATGTCATGAAGGAGGAGACCATTCGTGTTTGAGTGACTTTTGCTCCTGGAGCACCAGTGTCCATTGGATAAGCATGAAAATCACAAACTGCTCTTCAGTTTTTGCTTTGAAACTCATCTCAGCTCCTGCTCCCCACAGCCGTCTTTACGCTTTTGTAACATGGCTGCATTTTTTTTTTTTTTTTTTTTTTTTGAGACAGAGTCTCACTCCCTTGCCTGGGCTAGAATGAGTGCCGTGGCGTCAGCCCAGCTCACAGCAACCTCCAACTCCTGGGCTCAAATGATCCTCCTGCCTCAGCCTCCCGGGTAGCTGGGACTAGAGGCACACACCCGGCTAATTTTTCTATTTTTAGTAAAGACGGGGTCTCGCTCTTGCTCAGGCTGGTCTTGAACTCCTGAGCTCAAGCAATCCTCCCTCCTTGGCCTCCCAGAGTGCTAGGGGTTACAGGCGTGAGCCACCGCGCCCGGCCGTGTCCGCAGCTGTTGAACATTTTTATATGGACTGTCCTCGGTGGTGGGGACTCCATGGGAGAAATTGATGGGAAGTGACTTTGCCACGTGTTTCAAGCCTATTCGGTGCTTAGCGACGCTTGCATGGCTGCCGCGGTGCTGGGGTCTAGGAGGAACGTGCTCGTGCCCTTTGAATGCCGCCAAGCTTGTGCGTGTTTCCATGCAGACGCGAGTTCAGGATATCTGAACCAGGACGTTCATGCTCAGCCGACATTGAACTGTCTGGGACGTCATCAGGGTTCACTGTTATTTTTATTAATGTAAAATCACAGGTTATAGATTCTCAGACATTTACTTTACATGAAAGCCTTACTCTAATCGATGTTAATTCTAGATGTAGATGTCTGTGCATCTCTATTTCAGATAACCGTTTAGTTTAAGTGGTTTTAGTGAACGCCTAACTTGTCAACGGCACCACAGCAATAAACCGTGACGATCACACGCTCCACGTGTCTGCAAAGGGCTGCACAGGCCAGACGGGACCAGAGATAGGCGGCGCTCGATCACAATGCCACATTACGGAACTTGGATTTTTGTCATTTAATAGCAAGAAGGAGACCATAAAGAGTTTTAAACTAGGGAGTTGTGTTGTTCACTCTCCATCCAACAAACATGACTGAGCACCTGCCATGTGCCAGGTAGTATCTGAGGCACTGGAGATGTCACAATGAACAAAACCCCATAGAGGTGGCATTTACCATGTCAGGTGGTGACAAATGCCACGGAGAACTAAGTAGGCTCAGGCGGGTGATGGGGTGGGAGGGCTCAGCATAGACTGGCAGGAAATGAGGACAGAGCCACGAGGCCATCCGAAAGAGCATTCCAGGCAGGGGGAAACAGCAAGTGCAAAGGCCCTGGGGTAGGATGGTGCTGTGCCTGCTGGAGGAACACGTGGGAGGCCAGCATGGTTCCGAGTGACCAAGGGGGAGAACAGTGGGAGTTGAGGAAAGAAAGACAGAAAGGCGGCAGAAGGATGACCATATAACCTGGGCCATATGAGGCCACTGAAAGGACTTCTAGATTTAAGGTGAGGAGATGTGGCCCCATTTTGGACAGCGGTGCGGCACAATCTGAATTCCGTTGCAGGAGGCTCACTCTAGCCCCCGTGTGGCGAAGAGGCTGCAACAGGGGACAGGGAGGAAGCAGAGACCGCCCTCTGGAGACTGGAGAGAGGCCAGTGGGCACGGGTGGAGAAGTGGCCCGACTGTGCGTCCGCTCTGAAGTGAGAGCAGCAGGCGTAGCTGGCGGGCGGGACACGGGACACACGTCGAGGGCGACTCCACGGCTCGGCCTGAGAGCCCGGAAGGGCGGCCTTGCCTGTAGCCACACGCTGGAAGGCTGTGGGTGGAATGGCTCTGCAGGGGTGGCCAAGACTTAGGTCTGGACGTGTTGGCTTTGGGGGGCCACCAAAGCCCTGGAGAAGGGGTCAGGAAGGCAGCTGAGTGGATGCAGGTCTGGGAGAAATCTGGGGTCCTCAGATGGCATTTAATGCCGCGAGGCCACATGCGTCACCAAGGCATTGAGTGTGGCCAGAAGGGGGGAGGGTGAGAGCCCAGGAGAGCCGCGAGGAGACGTGGAGGGTCCAGCAAAGGGTCCGAGGAGGGCGGGCGACGGAGGAGAAGCAAGGAGGAGCCAGAGGAGCCAGACGGAGGAGGGTGAGCCCCGTCAAAGGCTGCAGGCCGGCGGGCCCTGGGCTTCGCTTGGCGACACTGAGGATGCCGGCAACCCTGGCACGAGCAGTTCTGGTGGCACGGAGGGTCGAAAGGCGGGTTGGACTGGGCTCAAGAAAGAAAAGGGGGAAAGAGGCAGCGACCACGCGCAGCCAACTCTCCTGCCGAGTCCTTCTGCAGGTGGGGCAGCTTGCGGGGCGCCGCAGGGCGTGAGAGGGACGGCTCCGGAGGGCAGTAGCACAGGGGGGTTCTGGTGGCAGCGAGACCAGACTTGCCTTGTGCATGCGGCAACCCAGCAGCGGGCCCGGTCAGCGCTGGCGAGTGGCGGAGCCGGGCTTGGCGCCTGTGTGCCCGCCCCTGCCCCGCCCCTCAGGAAGGGGCCCTGTCCCCGGGGGCAAAAGGCAGAAGAAGCTGGTCTGAGGGCCGCGGGTTTGCAAGTAGGAAGCACACGCTCCAGTGAACTCTTTGTTTGAGTGTCTGGGGATGTCAGGATTCCCCCAGGTGCCCATTGTCAGAATGTTGGTTCAGGCAAAAGGCTTCTTCACTCTGAGAAGAGCCCTTAGCGTGGCCTGGGGGCCGCACCTGTCTCCTGCAGCTCTCTGCTCGGATCACCCCGCCCTTCAGTGTTGAGAAGGGATCCTGAGGCCGCTGATTCATTTGGCTCACGTGCTGCAGGCCCTGCAAGAAGCATCGTGGGCACCTGCTGCCGGGGAGGGGCTCAGGCTGCTCCCAAGACACCAGGGCACCTCTGGGCTTCTCCCTTGTCTCTCCCCCAAGGAAGAACAGCCCGTACTAAGCTGTGTGCCCACCTGTCCCCTCTGCCCAGGGCGAGATGCAGGTACCTGGTGCCTGCCGGGGCCTTGACATGTCATCCCATTCCCAGGGCAGACCGTGGCACCCGACCTAGAGCCAGCACTCTGCCACCAACCATCCAATTAAAGGAGTTTAAAATACCTCATTGATGCCAGTTGCAAAAAAGAGGGGAGATCCTCAAATAGGGAGAACTTAACACGGTTAGATGTTGGGTGGCATCCTGGACTTAATTGTGTTCCCCTCCAATCCATATGTTGAAGTTTTAACCCCAAGTATCTCAGAATGTGACGTTTGGAGGTAGGGTCCTGAAGAGGTAATTAAGTCGAAATGAGGTCAACAGGGGGCGCCCTGATCCAGTGTGCCTGGCGTCCCTATGAGAAAAGGGAATTCGGACGCACAGAGTGACCTTGGGCACACAAGCATGCCATGCGGAAGAAAGACCACAGGAGGGAGAAGACCAACTTCTGCAAGCCAAAGAGAGAGGCCTTGGGAGAAACCAAACCCGCTGACACCTTGATCTTGGACTTCCAGCCTCCAGGACTGTGAAAAAATAAGTCTCTGTTGTTTAAGCCACCCCAGGCTCAACACTTGGTTATGGCAGCCTGGGCAAACTGACACGGCTGGCTAACAGCACCGCTGTATCAAAGCAGATCTGCACGTGTTCTACCCAGCCCGTGGATAAAGCGCCGTCCCATTGTAGGAGGATATGCCTGAATTTCAGAGTTCTGATGTTCACGCCAGGCGCAGAGGAGGCAATTTTACGGTCCTTCCACCATCTTCTCTTGAGGCAGCGTGCAAGTGCTCAGCCCCGTGGGGGGAGGGGGAGTAAGGACGTCAGGGAACAACTAACTTGAGGGGACCTCCTCCTGGGGGGACTCTGGGGACAGCCAGCCCAGCAGACACAGCCCACCCTAGTCCACAAGCCTGACTTCCCCGGTGAGAGTCAGAAATCTCACGGCCCTGCCTCCCCGGGTGGCTTGGAGCAGACGACCTAGGCAGCCTTGGCACTTTTCTCCGTGAGCCAAATAATAATGGTGGTGTCAACGCTCACGCAGGCGTGCCAGGGCTCTGTGCGCTGTGGGGGCAGTGCCATGTCCAGCGTGTCCCCAGAAACGCACATGTTGAACCCCTCATCCTCACTGTGAGGGTATTTGGAAGGGGACTGTGGGAGGCGACTAGAGTTAGATGAGGTCGTGAGGTCGGGGGCCCTCTTGATGGGATTAGTGCCCTTATAAGAAGAGGAAGAGACACAAGAGCTCTGTATCTTCAGCATGAAGGATGCAGCAAGAAGGCCCCTGTCTGCAAACCAGCAAGAGAGCCCTCACCCGACGCTGAGTCTGCTGGTACCTCGATCTTGGACTTCCCAGGCTCCGACACCATGAGAAGTAGATGTCTGTGGTTTAAGCTCCTCCTCTGTGGTATGCTGTCGTAGCAGCCTGAACAGGCGGAGTAAGGCAGCCCATGCCCGATGTCTCTAGGAGACAGGCGCAGGGCTGCAGCAACATCCCCACGTATCAGGTGACCAGGGCTGCCCCAGGTCCTGCGGTTGCCCTTGATGGGCCTGGGATGGGAGCACAGTCGGCTGGTTTCATTGCATTTGACACCCCCTGGATGGCCCTGGCCACACTGGACGTGGAAGGTGTGTGTGGCCGATGCTTGGGGCCCCTCCGCAACCGGGGTGCCCAAGAGGAGCAACTTGGTGGAGCCGAACCTTGCGGCTCTGCCCACCCTCTGCTCCCAACAGGGCGAGCACCTTCCTGGTGCTAAGAGTGCTGTTCCACCGAGCTAGCTTTTGCAGAGTACTTTGAAAAACAAGCCTTGAAAATCTCTTGTTTCTAGGGGACCTTTGGGCAGCAGCGGATGGGCTGGTGCTTAACTTCCGGGCACCCTTTTGCTAGCAGAAATGCCCGTGGCTATCCCTGGGACCTCAAGGGCCACTTCCCAACAAAGAGTGAGCTGCCGGAGGAATGACATTCCGGGTCTGGGTCTGATCCAGCAGGGAATGCGTCAGGCGCCCCGGGGACGGGGACGGCCCCCGGGAGAGGAAGGGTGACGCGTAAATAAATATCCGCTCCATTTATCGATTGGATTCATCCAATTACCCAGGAGGCGGGTTTAGGAGAGGTTCAGGGGGAATGACTCACATGTCACCGAATGATGCCTGCAAGGCTGCAGCCACGTTTCTGTCACTTCGCCGGTATTAGAGGACACTTTCAGTTACAGAGAATATTAATTGCTGCTGGGAGCTGGGTGTGACGTTAAGAGGAAATGAAAAACTCCGGCAGAGCTGTGCCATAAACGATGGCTCTGGGAGGAGAATTGATGCTGAGCTGAACCGAGCCGGCAAGGTGATTTTACTTAATGGTTTTTATTTTTATGTCCCCTCCTGAACTCATCTGTAACGGGTAGTAGGTGTTAGGGGCTGAGGTGTGGCCCCCCAAATTCGTATGCTCAAGCACCAACCCCCAGTACCTCCCAATGTGACTGCATCTGGAGAAAGGGTCTTTGAAGAGGCAATTAAATTAAAATGAGGTCACTAGGGTGGGCCCCGACCCACTGTGACCGGCGTCCTCATAGGGGAGGAGATTAGAACACAGACACGCGTGGAGGGACAACCACGGCAAGGCACGGAGAGAAGACAGCATCTCCATGACAACGAAGGAGGCCTCGGAAGGACCCGACCCTACGGACTCCTCGATCTTGGACTTCCAGCCTCTAGGGCTGTGGAAACTGAATCTCTGTCACTGAAGCCTCCCAGTCTGTGGCCTCTGTTGCGGCAGCCCGCGCAGACTGGTGCGGCAGGCTCTGTCTACCCTAGCTGTAGCGATTCTGTTTCCAAAGTCATCATCAAAATAGGTAAATTCTGCACAGTGCATCAGAGCTCCCGATCCACCGGGGGAGTTTTTGGCTTTTCAGATGAGAAAAACCTCCTGTGCCCTGGAACCGTAGCTGAGCTTTGATTTCCAAAGTTCTCTTTATGGTTCTTATGGGCCTTTGCCAGGAGCAGAATTTGGTTTACCTGAGTTCTCCAGTGTGAAGACAGGGGGAGAGATTCTCTCCTCGAGTTTCTAAAACACAGAACATTGAACTATTGTTTCTGCTCAAATCATTTAATTTTCATTACTTCTCCAATGTCAATGTCCTCTAGCCAAAAACCACCAGGAACACACCTGTAGCCAAACAAAGTTGGGTTTCTTTGACTCATTCCATCAAACCACGGAGGACGGGGATCCGTGCAGGTGGTGCATCGAAAGGACTTGTGGCAAGAAGCAGGGCTGCCATACACCCGCACGTGCACCTGGGACCACCCTGCCCGGGCGTTGTAGTCCGGGACAAGTGCTCCCCACCCACCACTGCCACAACCACCTGGGCACATTGTCCAGGGGCCAGAGGATTGACCCAGCTCCCTTCCCCCAGCTGGACTCCCTCACACCATCGGGGACCGGAGAGCAGGCCCACCCTACCCTCCACTGCTGCTGGCACGTGAGCACACCATTCAGGGGCCATGGAAGTGAACCCACCATGCCCACCGCTGCTGGTGCAC